CATGCTGCACGGTGTACGCCCTGCCGAGCCTGCACGTGAAGTCGCTGCCGGCGAGGCGCATGTCAGGCTGCAGTATTGCGCAGTGTATCGCCCTCGGCGTCGCGCTTGTCGTGCACCGCGGGCGGAGGGGCGCGAAGGCACGACTTCTGGACGCAGAGATACTGCAGCCGCTATCGCTCCCGCGTCGAGTGGAGGTGGTCGCGTGCTGCAGCGCCCACGACGCTGGCGTTGACGCGTTGCTGTCGATGAGCCTGGCGGAGGGCGCCGGCTGGCTCCTGCAGCTGCTGTCGGGTGGTGGGTACGGGCCGCAGGTCGATGCCGCCGTGCGTTTCGCAGCTGAATCGTAATTACACCTATTGGACTGTGCTGCAACTGGGCGTGGTAGTCGAGGGCGGGAAGCGCGCACCCTGCCTTTTGCATTCTCCTCCAATCGGCTTCCTTTGCTGTTGTTCTCTCCTCCCCCCCTTCTTTGTCTATCCTAATTGTGGCAACACGCGTGCACGCGCATGTGCACAACGAAAACAAGTGTAGTCCATAGTGCCGCCGCACACTTCCAAAGGAACAAAGAAGGAAAATGGTCCGCATGCACGGTAACGGCCACGGCAAGGCCTCTTCGGCCCTGCCGTACCGCCGCACTCCCCCATCGTGGCTGAAGATCGCCAGCCGCGACGTCATCGACGCGGTGTGCAAGCTCGCCAAGAAGGGACTTGCGCCCAGCAGAATCGGCATGCAGCTGCGTGACTCCATGGGTATTGCGCAGGTGAAGAATGTGACGGGGCGCAAGATCCTGCGCATCCTGAAGCACAAGGGCATGGCCCCGGAGATCCCGGAGGACCTCTACTGCCTCATCAAGCGCGCGACGGAGATGCGGAAGCACATGGAGCGCCACACGAAGGACAGGGACACGAAGTTCCGCCTCATTCTTGTCGAGTCCCGCATCCACCGTCTCGCTCGCTACTACAAGCGCGTGAAGCAGCTGCCGCCCACCTGGAAGTATGAGTCCAGCACGGCCTCGGCGATGGTGGCGTAAGTAACCTTTGCAATGTTGCTGCATTTCCAACTCCGTATTTCTCGTTTTCTTTCCTCTTTTATCACTTGTTCTAAAAAAGAAAAAAAAATCGGGGATGAATGGGCCCCGCAAAGGAAAATCTTGTTGAAATATATTCCCTTTTCACGTACCTCCTGCATGCAGGGAATTTCATTCTTTTTGTCTTTTCCTTTTCTTCCTTCGTCCCATGTGATCCGTCTGCGTCGATGGTGAGAGTGGGAGCAAGAAAAGAAACGGAAAAAAAATTAGTTAAGGTTCACGTATTCAAGGGGCAACTCTTAGCGCTGCAAGCTGCTGCTGCCGCTAGTGCTCTATTTTTTCACCGACGTTTGGTTAGCTGATGGCGACCAATGGATGTTTTATTGCGGTTCTCATTGCCCGCACACACGATCATGTCCCCCTTTGTAGCTATACCGATGATAATTACGCCAATTCCAATCAAATTCGGCAGCAGGAGCAACGCATTCTCGAACGAATGGAGTCCCCTGCAGCCACGTCAGAACGGAAAGATGCCAAAGGGAGCTATTACCAGAGCTTTGATCATCGTGACTGCATATATTTTGCCTTCCAGGATGCTGCCACGGACCTCACAATAATAACAGTCATCAACAAGCTGCTTCTTCGTAACTCGGGTGATATTGCGACCACGAACCGTCTCGCTTGCGGTCTGTTGGATCTCGTCTTCGCGGAGTTTACACAGAGTTATTCGGTAACCGAGGTTGCGGCTAATAATGTACGACCGTTTCAGTTCATCAAGTTCGATACGACGCTTCAGAGACTGATCCAACGTATGCAGCAGGAGCGGCAAGGTGAGAATGCGCTGATGGGTGTGCCCGGTACACCGCAGCGTCGCCAAGTGAATCCCCATTACGATGCACTTCGTCAGGAGCTTACCGATGTGCACTTTGTGATGCGAAAAAACCTCGAGGACCTCATGACTCGTGGGGAGAAACTGGAGACAATGAATCATTTCAGTGCCCAGCTTGTAGATCAGAGCTCGCGCTTCTACAAGAAGACGGTTCATATGAATCGGATGCGTTTGCTGCGATTGTACGGACCTCCGGCTGTAGTGGGCATCATCCTCGTCGTCTTTTTCTACTTTTACTTCTTTTGAGCGCTCGGTGGCTGCCGGTGGCGCCGGTCGGAGAGGGAATGTGAAGGTGTGGGGAGAGGGAGCAGCACGTGCAATAGGTACGGTGAGAAGAAGGGAGGAATGATGTGCTTGTGGCGCAACGGTGTGGGAGTGGGATTCTGTGCCAGACTGAAGCAAGTTATACACAGTGCTCCCTAGTGGGCGCGTGGAAATGACATGGGATCCTTAAGAAGCCGAACACACAGAAACATGTATTATATATATATATATAATTATGTGGTTGAGACGTGAGAATATTTATGGATTCTTCCTCTTATTTCCTTTGTTGCTTCTATTAATTGTTTGTGCCCTAGGAAGTGGGTAAAAAAACAAAAGTGACAACGCGAGAAACAACAACAACCGAAAAGAAAATAAGAAGCGACATTTTGGGATCATGGCGACAAAGGAGATTGAGCTCCTGCAGGCAAAGCCCCGGGAACAATTGCTGCACCCCTGCGACGTCATACAACGCAGCACCTTCGGCAAGGAAAACGCTGAGCGCCTCCACCGCATTCGCACAACGCTAGGCTGGGGCGCCGCTGCGGAGACGGCGTTGACAGAGACGACACTGCTCTCAAGCCGTCGCCTCGGTGCGCTTCCCAACAGCTTCGCACTGTACCACCACTACCGAGGGACTGTGGCGGAGTTGACGCCGATGGATATCTACGGCCAGTCAGAGGACAACCCGACTGTGCAACCGTCATCGCGCGCGCTTGTGGAGAAGGCAGTCTATGGACATGAGCTGACGATGAAGAACTTGGGGATGTAGGTGTGGCATTATTTGCATTTCTTTCTCAGTCCGTGTGCGTGCGTGTGTGGTCATATCTTCCTGTCTCCCACGTGTCTTCTCACTGGCTGTTGGCGTGCATTTATATCTATTTATCACTATGTGCACGTTGAAGTTCTCCCCTTGGAGATATATGCCAGAGTGCGTTTTTAGTGAAAGAGAATGTGCATGAGGAACAACGCCACTGTGTCTTCCCTGTTTGGCGTCATTGCTCCCTTTCTGTTGGTTTTCTTTCTGGATTGTTGTTATTGTTGCTAGGGAAGGCAAGACCCACGCCCTCAACACAAGGAGTGGAGGGCCAAAAGAGAAAAAAAAGGGAAGGGGCAGGTACCTGTGTGTATGTGTTATGTTCTTCTGTCCCTTCTGCGGTACGCTACTTNAAAAAAAAGGGAAGGGGCAGGTACCTGTGTGTATGTGTTATGTTCTTCTGTCCCTTCTGCGGTACGCTACTTCTGAATGAGCCACATTACCCCACCAATCGCTTTACGTGCTCCAGCTGCACGTATGTGGCCCCCATCCTCTCATCGCAGCCGCTCACGGTGAACCACTCCCTGTTGAAGTACAACAAGGTGGTGGAGGATGACAGCGGCGCTGCCGGGGCTGGTGCCAAACAGGAGTGCGTCAAGAAGGAGGAGGTGGCGGAGGAAGATGTGGTTGGTGGGCAGGTGATCACAGTGCGTTGCCAGAATGAGGCATGTGATGGAAACCGGGCGCAATATATGCAGATTCAAATGCGTTCCGCGGACGAGCCGGCGACAACGTTCTTCAAGTGCTTGAAGTGTGGCCTTCAGTGGAGGCAAGACTGATTCTTCTCGCGTTGCGCTGTTTGTGCTCATGCTGACGTTTTTCACATTGTACCCGTGAGGTGCCTGTTGTGGCTGTGCACGAGCGCTGAATTAAAAGCGAAACGAAATGGCGCGTGAAAAGGCCGTGTAAAAAGAGTTGAATAAAATCTATTGAAGTCATTTCATGGTATCTGAAAAAAATTGTGTTGTTGCCCTCTCTTTTTTTTTTTTTCTTCTTGGACTCTTCATACACCGGGCCCATTAAAAGAGCGGGGTCGTGTGGTGGAAGGAGAGAAACGGCACATCCCGAACACACAAAGACACACCGGCCCAAAAGTACATTGTGAGATATACACACAACGTGCATCTATACATATATATTTATATGTATGTATAGATGTGTGTGTTTGTGTCTGTGGGATACATATTGCCTTGTAGTTGATTAGACTCCAGCTTTATTTTTATTCTGTTGCAGTCTATGCGTGCAGTGAAGTATTTGGTGAAGCTGTACGAAGTGTCCCCGGAAGATGGTCAAATATCAGCCTTCGATACTTACGCAAGCACCATCTTCACCGGCACCGACAGGGGCATCCTGCTCAGGTTCACTGTCGAGGGCGCGGGCCTCCCTGACGCGGCCCCTCCGACGGTGAAGGAATCATGCGGCATCGGCAACAACGATAATAGCAGCGCCAACACTCGTGCGCCTAGCCAATCAGCGCACAATGACCCACTGGCGCCTGCGCCGGAAGGATCGGAGAGGATTTACACCACTCTCATGCGGCGCGCCGTGCTCTCGGCGACGCAGCGTAGGATCGAGCGCCTCCAGCATAGTCGTACGCAGAATCTTCTTTTTGTTCTCTGTGAGCATCGCCTCGTGGTGTTAAACTCCGTCACATTCTCTCACATACAAACTATCGCGGAGCATATTGGGACCTTCTTTGTCTCTGATTCGCAGCAAAATAGTCCTCAGCGTGCAGGTCTTCATGTTATTTGCGCATCGGAATTGAATGGCCGGGGGCTCAGTGTCTTTGAGTTCGACGCTTCGCAGGGTAAACACGCGCGTGCCATTCTTGCACAGGAACTCGTGCTTCCTGAGCTAGTCCAAGTGCTTGTGACATATGGCAGCATCGCCTGCATTGGCATGCGCCGGGAATACAGTCTTCTTTCGCTGTCGGATGGTAATTCGTGTGGTGTGCTTGCTCTCGGTGGTGGAAGACAGCCGCTGCTTGCTGCTGGTGATGGCGAAGTGTTCATGCGGTATAATCAGTCCATTTTCTCCGTCTCGATGCGCTCCATTCCGTCTGGACGCATTCTTGGCCGCACGATTAAACTCGAGGATGAGGTCTTGTCCTTCGTGGTTCGTCACCCTTTTCTCTTCGCATTCACAGAACAATATTGCGATGTCTATTCCTTGTGTGACGATGATGTATCGGAGCGGCTGCCACTACCAGGTTGCCTTTTCAGTTCGCAGCTGGGCCGTGGTGACTTTCTCTACGCCGCAAGTAAAACGAAAATATGGATGGCGAGCCTGCACTCGCTGCGTCACCAGTTGGCGGACCTTGTGGAGCGGTTCAAGGTGGAGGAGGCTTTCCATCTGCTTGGCAGTCAGCGGGCAAAAACTGCAGTCGATTTACAAGCAATTGAACTGGAGCTACATATAATGGCTGGGTTCGCATACCTGCACCACTGCCGTCCGAAGGAGGCGATGTTGCACTTTAATGATCACATCGATCCGAGAGACTTGTTGCTGCTTCTGCAANAGTGTATTCCACCGAACCCCGATGAATACAGCCCAGAACTGCAGGCGTTGCTGGAGGTTGATGGATTTAGGAAGCCTGGTGACGGCGCTCCGGTAACTTCAGCCATAACAACAACAACAACAACAGAAGCAATAGCGACCACAAAGGTGCATGGCAAGAATGAGACTGAAAAAGTATGTGCTGCTGAGGAGAAAGAGGAGGGTGGTGATAGTGACAAGAAGAATGGTTTCTGGGCCGAGTGGGAGGGATGCTGTCCGTACAACACCTATGTTGGGGAACTGCACAACGCTTGGCTTGAGACGTACGAGACGTTTCCTATTGTTCCGATGAACAGTGACCCGCAGCATCATTTGGTGTATCGTCAGGTGCCGGAGTGGGGCGCCACCACCGCAGCCACCTTCCTGGAGTGCTCATGGGAGCTTTTTAAAGACGAACTCATACTGTTCTTTCGCTCTCGCCTGAAACAGGCTAGTGATATCTACGCGCGGGCGATGGAGTACGCCCTGCTGGTTCTTGCGCTTGAGGCGCAGGATCACCGGGCGGCGTACCGTGTCGTGGCGTACGGATCATCACTCCGCGTGGAAGATAGCTACGACTTGCTTTCATCGTTGCGGGAGTATCGCCTACTCGCGTGCTTACTGTATCGTTGTGGTTATACACGGGCGGCAAGCCATGTGCTCACATCACGCGTCTACGTGTCGAGTCTGCTGCCGCCATCGGTGTTGAATGCGCGCTTCACGAGTGAGTGTGCTACGGCGTACAAAATTGTGCCAAAGTCAATGCGTGCTCAGCTAGACCGGCTTCTAAGCCGTACTTCCGATCTGCCATGTACAACAGGGATGCAGTTGAGGGCGAAAGATGAAGCGGGCCACCCGGGCCAAACAATGGCAGCGACGGAAGCATCGAAGGCACTGCTGCCGCTACCACTGTCACTCTCTGAGGTAATGTACTTGGTGAGCACACTTAACTTGGCAGCACTTCAAGAATTACTGTGCGAAAATCCAGAGGCTTCACAAGCAGTCGACGAGGAGGGATGCACCTTGCTGCATGTTCTTTTCAGCTTGCTTGTATTGCATGAGGATGCAAAGGAGGATCTGGCATCAGAGAGCAGAGGTGCCCTTTTGAACCTCGTACTGTCATGTGCTTTATTGCTCCTGGATCATGGTGTCTGCACAGCAATAGTAGACAGACATGGTCTAAGCTGTTTGGATGTGGCTGCGGTTGCTGCGGGTGGTGCTTTTTTTGACATCATAATGGCAGCACTACTTGCTGAAAGTGATGTGATGGGCGTTACTCTTGCGGTGGAGAAGGAAGTGGGTGAGGTGACACCTCGTGGCGCGTAACGGATGGAAAACCTTGTGTTTTTTCGCATATGTATATATGCATATATATGGGGCTTGACTTATGCGCCAAGAAGGGGCTGTTGACTGCTGATGAGCCGCAACTCTCTCATTCACTTCTACCACCTGAGTTGTTCTTCACCACCTTCTTCCCTCGTATGACAGATACGATGCTTCTAGGATGTGGTGGTGTTGTCTGTATATATTTTTTCGTCAGCTGACGTGTGGGGCTGCTTTCTTTGTTTTTTTTTTCCCCTTGACTCCCTCATGATATCTCTTCTTGCTCATGGAAATACGTTCCCACACACGCACGTATTAGAGAAGAGAGAAGGACAGTGGGATAGCGTACATTTATGCCATCCCTCACCCGAGGTCAGCGACGCCTGCTGCAGTATGCCACGCGCGACAGCGACACTTCGCATTTGAAGAGAAAATGTGCCGAGGAGGTCGCACCCGTGTTGCGGCAGCGGAAACAAAAGCGACGCTGTAGTTCTGCAAGCACAACAGAGACAGCGGAAACGTCAAAGTCGTCTCTTCCACTTTGCAGCGAGGTACTCAAGTTTGTGCAGCAGCACTGCCCGCAGGCCCCCCGCAAACTCAGTCAAAGTCAACTTCGTTTAGTTGACAGCCTCAGTAACCCTGGAAACGAGTCCACTGGCAAGGAGGTAAATGACGCGTTCTCAGTTAAGCGAATGGAGGTCACAGAGCGCGTGAACGGCTTCGATGTGGTGGCGTTTGCGGCTCTGCAGCGGCGCGCACTGTTGCCTCTCGAAACGTCTCATGGTGCCTCTCTTCTGGTCCTTGTCGAGGATGACGCTGACGCCAAAGCTCTGGCTGATCATGTTTCAGACCGATACAACATCAAGCATACGCTGGTAATGGACGGCTCTCGCTTTCCCACATATCCGACGCTGCCCGACGACGCGGAGACGGACACAGTGCTGATGGGGCACACCGTGTTGGTGATCGGCTCGCTCCAGTCATTCCTTGCTGTTGATGCGCGGAGTGCAGTGTGGAAGTTTATTGGTGCCTATGTTGTGCTGTTAAAGTCGTCGTCCGGTACTACCGCGGCGTCGAAGAGAATGACGGAGGAGGCGAGGCAGGAGTTGTTGCTGAAGTTGTGCCGGCAGCGCTGGCGCTGTGTGGGCCATGTCCATCTGGCCGCCGTGATGGCGCCGTCCCGGCAAGCCCTGTTCGCCCCCTTAGCGGACGCACTTACGACCTCTATGCCTGCTACAGGCGTAGAGAAGAACACTATCACTGCTGGGAGTAGCGGCATCAGTAAAAATCAGGAGACTGTGGTCACTGCTGTCCGCCGTCCTGTAACGGCTCACTACGCTGTAGTGGAGGGCAGCCACCGCTTTCAGACACTCTACGCGCTGCTGATGAGCCTTCGCGCAGAAGAGGGCGTGGTTGTCCACTTCGCCACCAAGGAGGCCTGCCAGTTCATGTATGATGCCATTTATGCACTGGGGGAGCTTCCATCGTCACTGCTGCTGCTTACCGACTATGAGGGGGCAAGCTCATACGCCTCTGTGCAGGATAACGATGCGGATCGTCAACGTGTGTGCACCCAGTTTGACAAGGTTGTCGTGGAGGCCTCACAGCAGAACTCATCGGGTGAAAAGCGAAAGGACCGTGTTGTATTGTTCTCTGCTTTTGGACTTGTACCTCAGAGGGGTACCATCTTCGTTCAGTACGACATTATGGTTGACATTGTGAACTTTGCGCAGTTCGTCAGCGACGTTCTTACGCCGGCGGCCTACAATGAAGTGGCCATGGATCCTTCTATCCGACGCCGCTCCCGCACACCACCACCACTTGGGGATCGGAAAGAATCTAGAAGCGGTGCTGCTAGTAAGGCCGGTGCGCCGCCTCCTGCAAAGACCATGTACCAGCATATTCTCGTGCTTCTGCGACGGAACGAGCTGCAGGGTGCCCTGCGACATCTTCAAGGCCCCGCGAAGCGGCTGCAGATAACTTTTGAGCAGATGCCGCAGCTGCCGTCGGCTACACGTTTTCTCCTATCGGTGCAGAAGATGCGGTCGTTGCACAAGAAGCAGTTCGCGGTACAGAACGCCGCCTACGCCGCTTACCGTGCAACGATGCTATTGTACTCCCTCATCGGCCCTGCAGCAGTTTACAATGAGCGGCGTGTCGACCTTGCGAAGGTGGCGGAGGAGTTTGGCTACGCGGAGATTCCGCTTTTGGACCTCCGCACACGCGATACCGCATTCCGGCCGAAGGAAGACATCTTCCGTGCAGCGCGAGAGCAGGCACTGCTGGAGCGGCGACAGATGCGGGCGTATGTGCGCGAGCACATCATCGGCGTGGCCCCCGAGGCACACGTCGCGGACGATGAGGCGGAAGAGTAGAGAGGCGCGAATAGCAACAACGGTGACAGCTGAAGGACGAGGAGAGGAGGAAAGCCCCACAGAGTACTGGGATTGTTTGTGCGAAGTGTAAAAGAACAACGTGAAGAAAGAGTAAATTGTGTTAATGGAGAGAGAGAGAGAGAAGACCGTTTAAGTGCGCAGTCGACACGTGGACTTCGTGTCGCTCAACGTTTTGGTCCTCCTCCTGGAAAGAGGAGGAGTAAAGCGGGGGAGAAGCAAACAAGGAAAGCGCAGCATAAAATGACGAGTATGAGAAGTTGTGTTGCTCTTTCTACGGGGTCACACTGCATTGCGTGGCTCGTCCTGTTCCGTTACCCTTTTTTTTCTCCCTTTCTCTCTTCTTGCGCCCAAAACAAAAGAGACGGTCTGTGAAGGTGCGAAGAGATATAAAAGAACTACTGATGTGCGTTCCACGTTGTTTCTGCTTGGCCGCGCGAAGGACTGCTGCTCTGCACCGCGCCTCATTGAGTGCTTGACCTGAGCTGGTGCCTGGCATGTCGTTTTTCTTTTTTTCTTTTTGCTTTCTTGCCGCCCACGTCTTGTCGTGCATTGTACACGTCCCTCTGGCGGCTGCTGTCCCCTTTCTGCGCGGCGGGTATGGCTGGGACACGGCGGCGTCGTCGCACCCTTCTCCCCATGTGGTGCGTATTACTACTACTACTACTACTTCTGCTGCTGCTTCTATTACAATCACAAGTAGTGCCACTGCTGGTGGTGCCGCGTGGAGAGTGCCAGTGTGTTTCTGTGTGATTGTGTGTAGTTTTTGCTTCTCCTTCTCTCTCCATGTATATATGTGTGCATGTCTCGTTGTTGCTGGTGCGGTCTTTCTCCATGCCATTCTTTTCTTAATTGCTGTATTGCGCTGTGCTGAAGGGAAGGAAGAAGGAAACGAGGTGAAGATGCAATCGAAGCGTAGAGCGGCGCATGAACATGAGCACGAGGAGGAAATGCTGCATGAACACGGCATGTCTTCGCCCTTCGAGAAGTTCCTGAACCCTAACTACTCCGCCGAGTTCATGGCGAAGCTTCCGGAGCGCATCAGGCAGCGGGCGCAGGTGCTGATGCACTACCACGAAGAGTATGAGAAGTTGCGCAAGAGCTTCGAGGACAAGGAGACTGACCTTCGGCGCAAGTACGACGAGATGTACGCGCCCCTCTACGATCGCCGAAAGGAGATAGTCACCGGCACCTGTATGCCCACGGAGGAAGAGGTGGCAAAGGGCTTCCCCAGTGAGCACGAGGGAGTCGTTGACATCAGCGCTGCGGCGGAGAAGGCGGGTGACAATAACGATGAAAAGACAGAAGCAGCCGGGCTCCCGGGCTTCTGGCTGCGAGCGCTGCAGCACCACGTCCTCTCTGCCTCGCTGATCGAGGAGCACGACGAGCCTGTCCTTGAACACTTGACAGATGTGCGCTCCGGCGTGGTGGAGGGCGGCTACGGCAGCTTTGCTGTTGTCTTTGTGTTTTCCCCTAACGAATACTTCGAGGAGGAATCTCTCATGCTAGGGGTGGTGCAGAAGGACGATGGGGTGAACATCATCCGCTCACCGCTCACGTGGAAGCCGGGGAAGGACGTCACGGTAGAGACGATCACGAAGAAGGTCGGCGGCAAACGCGGCAAGGCGGCGAAGACAACATCTGTCACGGTGTCGCGGCCGTCTTTCTTCAGCATGTTCAAAGAGAGCGCGAAGGCTGCCGAGAACGAGAACGCAGATGAAGACGACGACGACGACGACGATGATGATGATAACGATGAGCAAATCGAGCAGCTGCTGCATGTCCTGCACACCAGCGTTATTCCTTGCGCCGTCCACTTCTACACAGGTGAGGCTCCTGACGGAAGCAGCGATATTGACACGGATGAGTACGATGAGGATGAAGAGGATGAAGATGAAGAAGAGGAGGAGGAGCCCGCGCACAAGGGGCGCAAGCGACATGGGGGTGACCGTGGCGGGAATGCGCAACGGCCCCCACAGACCCAGGACTGCAAGCAGCAGTGATGGGAATGTGCAATGCATTTCCCTCTTGGCACGGCCTTTTCATAAAAATTCATCATCGGCTTAAGAGAAATTGGACGATCAATCGCGGTACCTACACGCGCACATGCGTGCCAGATTATTATTATTATTATTTTTTGTCTGCGCGCTTGTGTGTATGTGTGGGTTCGCGGAGTTAAGCGCCACGATGGGTGCGACCGATAAAGGAGTGAAACCAGAGCAGGAACGTCGTAAAAGCAAAAAAAAAATGAAAGGAGAAAAAAAAAAGAAAGAAACTTAAGGCAGAACGCAGTGAGATGAGGCAGAAGAGGGGAAAAAAGTTTAATTATGCGTAAGTGCAGCCCCCTCTTACAGGCGACATGAAAGGCTCGTTTTGGAGTGCGTGGTTCATGTTGGGTGGAGGAGTGACCACATGAGGAACAGGGTGTAAGTAAATAGGAAACACATGGAAGATGCTCTGATAAGAGAATAGATAGAAAGACAGATATCCATTTGTGGTGTGGAGTAAAGTGGATGAAGAGTTATTTCCTTTTTCTCTATTCTGTTTCATGTTTCTACACTCTGGGTTGGTTGTCCCTCTTCGCTCTCCACCCCACAGTTCACGAGGCCGGAGTAAGCGTCTGTGCATGGAGGGTGTGGTGCTGTATTCGCACTTGCTCTGCTTTCTCTTGCGGCCGTCGTCATTCCCTCTGTTGATGTCTGCTTTAGCGGTACCATGGTACACTGGTCTGCTCTTGTCTGCTTGTTTTGTCTGTTTCCCCATAAGCGGGGAGGTGTAGGGGCTCCAGGGAGTTCCCCGATATTCTTAATATTTGGTTTGCTAGGCCACTATGAAGAGCGTCGACGAGGCCGGGACGCTGCAGGCGCAACTTGCGCGCCTACCAGTGACGGAGCATGCCATTCTCCTCAACCGCTTTAAGTTCCTCAGCCTTGTGCAGCGTGTCGCGGCAGCGGACGTGGCAGAGATGATCCATACTGTAGGTCTCGACGCATTGTCGTACAAGGGCGCTCTTCAGAATATGCCCCCACCACCATGCATGGGTGCAGTAGAAGAACCAACAGCAGATCGACCGTATACTCGAAGTGCCATGCGCCGAGGCTCTCTGCAGGAAAGAGGCGGTTACCGACAAGCAGTAGCAGTATCTGCAGCAACTAATGGATTGTCGCCAGAAACCACCCAACGGCAGCGTTTTACAAGTCGCGAGAAGGAACAAGAGTTCATAGATCGCATGACACAACCACAGCGGCGCCGGGATCCACTGGACGCCCAAATTCGAAAACACCCGCGCGGCCGCTACGGCGAGGGCACTTCTCCCCTTCGCGAGGTGCCGTCACTGCCGATACGCCGCACTGCAAACGGCACCGTTGGCAAGTGGAATGAACAAGCGGAGGCTGACGGCGGCGATGCTGCTTTTGTGGACGTAAGTCACGAAAGCGACGCAGTCGTGGTGGACTCGAGCGGCGACTGGCAGCACTACGAGGTGGGACGGGGAAAGCCTCACTCTGGCGGCCGACATCGCCCACAGATGGCGCCACCGCGCCCAGTGGAGCGAAGCGCAAAGGAAGAAGCAGTGGCAGTTCACAACACGGAGCGGCGGATCGCCGCCCCCGCCGCGTCACCCGAGACTGTGACCAAAATGGGGCGGGTGCACGTGCCGACCGCTGTCAGCAAGAGCGATGAGACCGCAAACCACTATGAAAATACGCCCCCTCTCTCGCTTCACCCTGATACGTTAAAAAATCCGTCGCTGGAGGTTTCGACGCCGCGCACTTTGCAGGGCTCTACTACACGGAGTCGTGGGCCTTTTGCACCGAAAGCGAAACCGAAAGCCGCAGCGGAGGTGCCACGGGTTCCGATGGAGGTGATACGCCACGCGTCAGCGCTGCTGGCGAAGAAAAATACCGCCGCACTACCACTGTCACCCCGACCGCTCCAAGAGCCGCTGCCTGCTACTCCAGCGGCACAAGAGAGCACGTCGTGGGACTCACAGGTGGCGCCCTACGGCTACTCAGCTTCGCAGTTTCAGTCAGTGATACCGCCGGCGCTGCGTGGTGGTAAAAAAGAAGAACATGAAGTACAACAGGGACATACACAACCAGTCGCGGCGTTGTCGAGTTTGCCAGATGACGCACTTGCGGAACTGGCGTCCTGTGTGGAGCGAATGCTGCAGGATCATCGCTCCATATTGGATGGTATCGTGAAGGAAGAGGCGACACCGTCGCCAGATGTGCCGAAGATAGCACGGCCAATAGAGAAACCAGGGCGCGGCAGCAATGCCGATAACAGTGTTGATAGTTCTGGTGGCAAGACACTAAGGGCAGGGCGTGCGCCACTGCGCGGTGCTGATAACATGAGCTCGGCCCATGTTCTCCAGGCCGCCCACGATATGCTGGAGGACTTCAGTGACGAGGAGGATGAGCTCCTGTTGGTGAGCCGTCTCCAGCGACAGGTTGGCGTGATGGGTCGTGAGTTGGAGGTCATTGAGGAGCGGGAGAAACACTACCACCATACCTTTGGTGAAGAGGGTGAGGAAGACGAGGATGAGGAAAGTGAGGGAGCACACCGTGTGGTGGTATCACCTAAGCACCCCGGCCGACGCGTGGTTTTTGCCGATCCGAGGAAAGCACCGCAGAAAAGCCGGCGGCGCCGTGGTGAGATGCCGCGTGCCATTTTTGAGCGTCTGCGTTCTTTCCAGAAGGAGAACCGCGAGTATGTTCGATACACCGAGAGGGAGTGGAACACCTCCAATGTGACGGAGCAGGTGTTTGCGCACCGTCTCACGGACAGTCTCGTTGAGGACACCTTCAATGAGGTGATTGAGGAGGTGGCGGATATCCTCGACACGTACGTGGAGGGGCTGGCATCGCACGAGCTGCATTGAGCCCACTCCTGGCATCGATAGACTCTTTGTTTTATCAGAGGAGTGCGGGAAGACAAAGTCCAAAAAAAGAAAAAGATGCCGTCCAGTTTGCACAGCACTAAGGAGTAGCCAAGTGGATGCTATTTGTGGGGCCATTTTCCTATTTCTCAATTTCCTTCACGATGTTCGTGTGCTACTGTCGATTTATTATTATTATTATTATTATTATTATTTGCGTTGCTACAGCATCTCCATCTCCGATACTCTTTTCGCTCCGATATTTTGTTTGTGCATTTCCTTCTTTAACCCTCCCCTCCCCCCCAAAAAAAAAGTATATAGAGGTCAGCCCAGTCGGAGTAAGACAGTGAAGGCCATCTACGAGTCTGTACTTGGCCGAGAAAACAGATTACACGAGTACAGGTGGGCCTGGAGTAGACCTCCCACGTTCTCTCTTGTTTGCTCTTTCCTGCCGTTACTTCATAGTGCGGCAACTAANTAGACGTGCTCAACCTGCAGAAAGTGGGTGAAATGATGTCCTCTCGGGCGATGGCGCAGTTGCAACGGGAAAGGGATTTCATGCGCACCGCAGACATAGTGAACAAGTTTATTATATCGACTGCGCAGTTTTTGAACCGATTTGCAGCTCAGTGTGACAATAAACTACTCGAGACAAGCCGGTCACTTCAGCGCCTTGAGGCCCTCACGGTGCTGCTGGAGAGCAAGCTCAATAGCATTGATGAGGAGTATGGAGAGGAAAGAGACGCTATGACCGCTGCTCCTCCCCCCACCGCGGCTCTTGTTAGCGGCAGTTTGGCACCCCCCGCATTTGCTGATCGTAACGCCCCGCCACCGATGCCTGGCCTCGTGGCGGTGCAGAGCATCAATCGGCCGCCGCCTCCGCCGCCGCAACGCCACGGGCCACCG